TTTATGCCAAGCTGGTTTTACTGGAGATGGCAAAAAATGCCGGGGTAAGATACGTAAACTGGGTTTAATAACCATAGTTTGCTTTGTCTTGCTTCCTTCTGGTTACCAGTCTTAGGCCTGGTGCTCTACCAGTTAGCTACAAGGGATCTGCACTTATGGAAGAATGAACGTGGTTCATATGACGCAAGGTTTATGCAAGTGCAGGTGCGAGGGAAGTTGAAGGTGTAGGCCTGGGCTCGAGTTACAGGACGCTTAGTCTCCTCTAGACACCGACACACTTGCCGATAGACTGCTCTGTCTCACGTGTTCAGAATGTCGAAAGATAGCATTCTGGCGATAATATAAACGTGAGGGTGAATCTAAGCTGGGAAATATATGAAAATAATATACATTTTTTCTTCAGTCAGTGACACAGGTAACTTGGAAAAAAAGGTTTCCGAGTTCTCCCAGCGGCAGTCGACATAAGTCGGATCTTACCTTCCCCCCCAACTCCCCAGCTATTCCCATATGTTGTCTATTCCGTTTAACAATAAAAACAAACCAGAAGCTAGGTGTTCTCGTTGAAGACACGAGACACGAGTGGTAAAACAGGGAGTACGGTGTAAGTCGTAACCCTCGTCAATAGTAGGGATCCCCCTTTCATTTTTGTGTTGACCAACTTCCTTGATTTTACCATGCAGACACCTTTCTATTTAAGTATTTTTCGCTTTATGTCTACTTTGAGTGAAATTTAGGTTCTTCCAATAAATTTAACAATATGACGTCATAATGACGCCAGATTACGTCATTGTGTCAATCAAGTTATGCCCAGATGTTGGAAATGATGAGTACATTATTGTGTGTAATTTTAGCGGCGGGGATCTCCGAGGCCCCCCGGTCACAGGAAGTAAAAAAAGCCCGGTCTGAATAGGGTTAAGATGAGATTCTGGCGCACGGTACATTACTTTGTTGCATGGCATTTACTTACGAAAAGTTTACGGAACGAATCGTAGCGTCTAAATCAAGCCTACAAATTGCGATTGTCGTAAGACGGTAGATTTCGTACGCTACAATTCAAGTGGGAGGTTTAGTGAGACCATCGTATGCAAGAAAAGGTCTATCCGAGGAAATCTTTTAGTAGTGCCTTGAAATTTCCTGCGAGCAACCTATTATTTATAAAGGAGACACCCCACTGGACATATTTCGCACTCTAGTGTGATCTTAATTTATTCACAGATATCGATGAATGTAGCATTGTTCCCTCCATCTGTGATCCGAATGCCGACTGCCAAAATAATGATGGCTCTTACCTTTGCTCGTGTCAGCTTGGTTTTATTGGAGATGGAAAAACATGCCGAGGTAACATGGGAAAATAAATTAAAATACATTTTATAGATATGTTTTAATTGCAGCTTAATCCAGTAATAGGGAAAAGAGTTCAACCTGGTCACTGATGTCCCCTAAAGCGACAATCTCTTTAGAGGTACTCGGTAAAGTATTGTGGTCCATTACAAACCTCTTTACCTTTTCTTATTTTCTCGTTTTTGTTTTTGTTTTTGTTTTTTTTTTTGTCGATGTTGTGGTTGCTCGAGCTCGCTGGCAGCATTGCCACGTAAAGCAATTCTTGATATGCGACGATTTCCTTAAAAAAGGGGGGTTTGTTGGTAAGCGCGCGACAAAAACGACGTCCACAGGCTCAGATAGAGAGGCTAAATTTTTTAACAATATATGTCTCCAAATACTTTTAGTAAATTATGGAAACTAAACCTAGAATTCAGGAATATATTACCAGAACATCTCAGAGAATCTCGACAGTTATGCAAACCCGGCCCGAGACAAGACAGAAAGGTACGATATTGTTTGTTTTTCTAAGGTTACCACTAAGTCTTTGGCCTCGGGAACAGGGTTCTAGGCGTCAAATCTATTAGGCGAGAACAAGATTGCAGGTGAACTTTGACCCAGGTCAAGACTTCTGGCCCCGTTTGTTTAAACGCTGGATAGTGCTATCTACTGGATAAAAATCTATCCAGCGGATAAGTATTAGGAAAACTAATTGCGCCATCCACTGGATAGAGATTTATCGAAGTGGATAGCGCTATCCATCTTTTGAACAACTGGGCCGTCAGTGGTGTGAAAACAGAGTCTATGCTAGTCTCATCTGCCACACTGTTGACTTTACATCCGGGAACTGGAATATGACGAATGTAAGAGAAAAGTCTAGAGTTTTTTATCTGCCAAAAGGCCGGGTCTTTCGAATTAATTGATGATATTTCGCTTGTGTTAAACGTGAAAAGATTATGCATGGTTGTGGATAGACTTATCAGTGCTGCGAAAGTGTGGTTGAGTTATTCCTGGATGATGTTGACAGGCAGAACTCAGGTAGGTGGTTTTGTGGATGATCGATGGCAGTTTTTGCAATAAAATGTTCTGTGCAAGCCATAAAACCGCGGCGTCGGTGTTAAGCTGGCCTGTGAAAACAGCCGTTTCCCCCAGCTCCTCGCCGCTGGGGACGTTTCGCGAGGAGGAACGTCTGCGACTCAGCGACAGAAATTCCATACCTGCGTCGTAAAATCTGTCCGGAATACGCTCAGAAGCGCTGTTTGGTCGACGGAGTAGTTACATTGTTTTAGCTATTGCTTACGACTGACAGACAAAAGACAAAAGGCCACAAAGGTCAAATATAAACGCCATGAATCTCTAACAAAATAGTTAATATTTATGGAATATAGTCTCCTGTAGAAGAAGCATTTGAGATTTGCTGGAGCTCGTTCGCAGATGAACACAACTCTCAACCAAAATCGACCAGAAGAAACGTAAAATTGAACAAATTTGCATTTGGAACCCCATGACTACCGGATCTATTACGTTCGACGAAGGAGAGCGCTTACTACAGTAGTGTACCGTACATGATGTAGTAACCGTTCCGTACATGCCGTGCGATTTCACGGTTTGGACGCCATCTTGGACCGGCCAGGCACATTTTGCCTCGATCTCATGTATTCAGTTTTTCTCGCCCAGGAGCTGGTATCTATCAGTGTGACACTCTTTCGCAGATGAAACGTTGGCAATTTTTGTTTGCTACAGGTTTGTTTATAGTTTTTCTCCCAGTTTTAATTATTATTATTTTTTTATATAGGAAAATTATCATTCTAAGATAATCGGATATGTAGATGTTATGTTAACAATGTGTTCTGCACACTTTATTTGTTTTTATGAATTCAAGCAACATCAGCTTAGATCGACCAGATTTAATTCTATTACAAATGAAATCTCTTCGATTTTAAAAGCTATTTACAGCGTTGCATTTGCTTTTGTTTGTCACCATTTTTGAAAAATATACAAGAAGTTGAACAGTGAAACGTTGACCTTTTCATCTCACTAATTCCGGGTGCGTTGTATTTTGAAAACAGTGCTAAGTAGGTCAGTCGTGTTAGCCTAGTGTCACGCAACAAGGGTTTAAAGTGATACGCGACGCTTAAACTTTTCAGATAACTTTAATTTTCTGTATCCCAATTTTTAGCCAATTTTATTGACCATCCTACGGTGCAAAAGAATATCCTGAGGATCATAGTCAGTGTTTGACCTGCTGTTACTTACATGTACTTTACTTAGAGGTTTGGCTAAGTAAATGTAAAAAGTACAGTACGCTCTTGCATTTTTGAGGAAAAATGAAATAGTAACGAATTGTAAAGTGGGAGGATAAAAAATAACACTGATAAAGACAGCTGCTGATATTCATATTGATAAAAGCGTTTGATTTTGATTTCTCAATGTTACAAGCCCATCAGATTTTGAACCCCCTTCCCTCTACCACTCACTACCCACCCTCTCCCCCCTCCCCCATCGAACGCACTCCCCTAATTTGCAATTATTACTAGTTAAGAAAACATTGATTTACGTGATCAGTATGGAATTTCTGCCGCTGAAACGCAGACGTTCCTCCGCGCGAAACGTTCCCAGCGGCGAAGAGCGAGGGGAGACGACTGTTTTCGCAGGCTAGTGTTAAGCTTACTAGGTGATTTGTGCCTTAGAAAAACAATTCTCGACTCAGGAAAATTGGGTCTAGATCTAGTTTCAGCTGGCTCTTGGCTTTGAACCATAGGCCGGGTTTTGCAGATCAGAAGGTCATTATGATATATGTACAAGAGCCATGGCTCTTGATATGTACTATGTTTCAATGTTTCGGTGCTGTCTATATATTCCATGCCAAATCCTGTCATTTATCTTCCCGAGAAAAAAAGTAGTGTTTTGCTAGCTATTTAAGTTGTTATGTAAGCCTTAACCGCGCACTTTTTGACTGCAAGTCACCTCAACTTTAAAATTTCTAGACCGAAATGACACCGGTTTGAAACTTCACGGAGTCAGATTACTGAATCGAAGGGTGTAATTTGCAGGTTGCAGGTTGCAGGTCGCACGTCGCAGTTTGCAGGTCAGAATTTGAAGTACAAGCGAACGGTCAACGCTAAACTGATTTTGAGGAAAAAAAACCCGACTGTTTTGCAGTCTAAAGTCCTAACGTCTTTATGGCGCCACGCAAAACCAGAAATATCTTTAGTCCCAGGAAATTGTTTGTTTGGAGTTAGATCTTGTCAAAATGTCAAATTCTGACCTGCAACCTGCAATTTCCAAAATTACATCCTCCGTTACCGAATTAATGTTCTAAAATTTAGGTTTGGACTCGGTGAGGGACCACTAACTTAGTGCCGGCGTAAGATAGGTGAGGCAACATGTGGCGGGTCACTCCAACTATTAAGTTAAAATGAGAGATTATATGTGCAGGCAGGCTACTTGATCTACCTGGGGTCCCCCACCTCTATGTAAACAGGCCGTTAATCTCTCTAAATGTATAATGTCACTTGACGCTTAAAAGACACTTTTACACGACTGAGGGTTTCTATGAGGCTCTTGAACTACGAAATAAGTTACAGGTGATTTGAACCTTCCCCCTTAATTACTTTGTCGTTACTCTCACAGTTCCAGTTCCAGTAGTTACAGCGTCAAGCTCCTGTGCCAACCTGTTGGTTAGCGACACTTCTAACGTGAGTGGAATAATTCAGTCAAGTTTGACATCGACATACCCGAACAACATCAACTGCCAATGGCATTTATCATCAAATACAACACTGGAACTGGTCTTCTCCATTTTCAAAACCAAAGCCTCTGATTACCTTAGTGTGTACGATGGCACGTCGGCCTCATCGAATCTCATTGGCAGATTCAGTGGAGAAATTTTGCCTGGACCTTATGCTCTCAGTACTACGAATAATCTTTATTTGACGTTTTCATCGAGTAGCGCAGGATCAACGGATTTTGGATTCAGAGCTCGATACCGAGGTGACTTACCATAAAATTAGTATGTGTAATCAAATGGTGACGAGTGTAATTAGGGAATAATTTCACGCGCGTTTTGTCCAAATCGTAATAATTTCCCGAGCCTTTGTTTTAAAACTTCGTCGCCATCTTGACACCGAGACGTACGGAAGGGTTGCCATGGCAATTTTGTAATTTCACTTGTGAAATTACAAATTAACGCCGAAATTTTGCGCCAAAATTAAGGAGTAATTCGTCACCTATGATATTAGTATAGGTAATAGCACGATTTGTAGTGATATTTGGCATAAATACCACGAGTGATATTTCGAAATTGTTATACGTAATTTCACGAGCCGTTAGGCGAGTGAAATTTGAGACAATTTTTATATCACGTGCAAATCATGCTATTATTTGTTTATACTACTACCCGCAAAAGGTTTGTAATTTTCACATGTAGGTATTTCAAATTAAGCTGAAATACCACTGCTCTAAACCAATCAAATTGCAGAAATTTCTATGTAAAGTTCAAATTCGAATTAATTTATTTAAATGCTCATGGTTTTGCCTCTCTCCTCTGCAGAGGCCTCTTTGTGTCGAAGGGAGGCTGGGGAGAAGGAAAAGTGAAAGCGCGCGGGGTACTTGGGATACCAGGCGGAAGGCTCAGTCTGTTAAGGAGACAGTGGGCGCTTTCCAATCTATACAACCAAAACTTTCGAAAATTTGGAAACAGCGGCAAATGTTACAGACATTTTCCGGAAAAGTTTCCAGAGGTTCTGGAAACTGTTGAATTTCCAAAATGCGAACCATTCAACCAAAAATTCTAGAAATTCAGGGAACAAAGTTGGATTAGGAAGTACACCTCGAGAGGTTGTCCTCTTTTTTGGAAATTTTGCAAAGTGCTGTTCTATTCGCCACTGAAAGTTGTCGAAAATTCAAACCGAACGTTTTGGTTGAATGGAAATTAAAGCGCCCAGTGGTGTTGCCACTTGGCTTGATCAAATGCGTTGTGAGATTTGGATGTGCTTTCACACGATAACTTGTTTTGTTTAATTTTTGTCATTTGATATTCTTAGAGATTTAACAAACAGTTAAAAGATAGCAAAAAATAAGGCCGTTTTTTTCCCGACGATATATAAAGCGTGATTTCCTTGAAACCTCTTTAACGTCTGGATCGCTTGCTAAGCTTCCATCGAGATATCGTGCTACATGTGAAAGAAATTTTTGAGGAGTAGCATTTTTCATAAGAAAACTTCCCGCAAGATAAAGGTTGCTTGGTTTCTAGCCTGCAAGCATGCTCTCTATTAAAGAAGTCGCGTGAAGTCACGCGTGCAGTCAGCGAAAGGAGACGCTAGAGCGGGGAAAGCTCCTCGCGGTTTTGCCACTCGCCTGCGCGTTCTCGCTCGCGAGTCTTAATGAAGAGCTTACTCGCAGGCCATCCAGTTTCCTGTCAGAACGGCACTAAGATCAAATTATATAATTAATACATCACAAATATGATTTACAGGTATAAACTTTATCCGACCTGGAAAGCGTTAGTCTTCCTCGCAGCCGTTTTTTAGATAAAAAACGGCTGCGAGGGAGACTAGTAAAGCGGAGCCCCTAGTAAATCCTAACCCGTGAAACAATTAACTTCGAAGTAACGCCTTCGACGATAAATAACTAAGAATCTTAAGCATGCGAACCAATGTATAAGTATCAACTGATCATGTCTACTCAGCGGATAACTAACCGAAGTCAATGGAAAGTATGAAGGTCTGTGGATGCAGATTCTGAACCATTCTCGTCTCAGAGTTGCGACCTTTTTGGTCAATGCCAGGACTGGGATTGACCAAAAGGATTGCAACTCTTAGAAAGAAAAATTCTTCGGAATCTGAGAGCTGTCAACTGACTTAGTTCTGGATGGCGTTTATAACTCTATAATAGAATGACAGTATCACAATTTTCTCATTTCAGTATTGTCGCTTTAATTGTGTGACTTTTCACATTGATTTATATGACCTGATTAGCGGTCGGTCGTGCAGTCACCTGAAAAGCGACTTTGTTCGTATCGGTAGGTTATCAGATTTTTATCATCAACAGGGCTGCGCACGCACAACGCTCCGCTTTGATTTTTTACTCTTTGTATCTTTCTCTGTTGCTAATTTTTTTACCAATCGTTTTATCTCCTGTGCCGGAAAATTCAGCTATCACTACTGGTTCCCTTCGTATAAACAGCAGCACACTATCAACCGGCAGAGTAGAAGTCTTCTATAACAACCAGTGGGGCACAATTTGCGATGATATTTGGGATTTGAATGACGCTAACGTGGTTTGCCGGCAGCTTGGTTTCCCAAAAGCGTCCCAATTCTTTCAACGGGCCCAACATGGGCAGGGTTCTGGACCGATTTGGATGGATAATTTGGCGTGCTTAGGAAATGAAACGCATATCTACCATTGCAGCCATAATGGATGGGGAAAGGAGAATTGTGGTCATTCTGAAGACGCCAGTGTAGAGTGTTTCCCAATCCGTCTTGCAGGGGGAGGACAAAATTATGGTCGCGTTGAGGTTTTTTATAAAGGGATCTGGGGTACAGTTTGTGATGATCTCTGGGATCTCAATGATGCTGGAGTGGTTTGTCGCCAACTTGGTTTCCGCAACGCCTCCTCTGCGCCACACGGTGCANTTTAGTGAAAACAATGGTTTGGTGAAAGAATGAAACAAAGGTTTGGGTTGGTGCTCAGTCTCGTGGGCTCATAATACCTAGTCTCGGTCATTCTTATTTAAGGATTTTTCTTTTGTTGTCTGGGTAAGTGTGACTTTTCACATTGGCTTATATGACCCGATCAGCGGCCGGTCATGCAGTCACGTGATAAATTCAAACCGATAAGTATAGGTAATCAGATTTTTATCATCAACAGGGCTCTGCACGGACAACGCTCCACTTTGATATATATATATTTTTTTTCACTCTCTATATCTTTCTCTGTTTTTAATTTTTGTTTAAAATCATTTTATCTCCTGTACCGGAAAAATAAGCTATCACTACTGGTTCCCTTCGTATAAAAAGCAGCACACTATCAACCGGCAGAGTAGAAGTCTTCTATAACAACGAGTGGGGCACTATTTGCGATGATCTTTGGGATCTGAATGACGCTAACGTGGTTTGCAGGCAGCTTGGTTTCCCAAAAGCGTCTCAATTCTTTGGAAAGGCCCTACATGGGCAGGGTTCTGGACAGATTTGGATGGATGATTTGGCGTGCTTAGGAAATGAAACGCATATCTACCATTGCAGCCATAATGGATGGGGAAAGGAGAATTGTGGTCATTCTGAAGACGCCAGTGTAGAGTGTTTCCCAATCCGTCTTGCAGGGGGAGGACAAAATTATGGTCGCGTTGAGGTTTTTTATAAAGGGATCTGGGGTACAGTTTGTGATGATGCCTGGGATCTCAATGATGCTCAAGTGGTTTGTCGCCAACTTGGTTTCCGCAACGCCTCCTCTGCGCCACACGGTGCAAAATACGGTCACGGATCTGATCCTATCTGGTTGGATGATGTCGGCTGCAAGGGAGAAGAGGCTTCGCTGTTTAACTGCTCACATGCAGGATGGGGTATTGAGAACTGTAGTCATGGCGAGGATGCCAGTGTAGTTTGCACGAACTAATTTTTAAATTGAATTTTTTTTTTTTGATAGACGGCGGATATGCATGACAGCCAGTGAAGAGCGCCTCTTTTGTGCCTCGAGTGTTACTTTTTTGCCACAGAAAACAGCAGATATTTTAAACTATGCTCAAAGACAAAGGGCTACTCAAAAAACGAACGATGCATATTTTCATCTCCTTCAAGAACAAGTGAATCTGTAATAGGCAGTTTAACACTCGCCAGGCAATTCGAAAACGAGGATTCCCAATCCCTGAAACGGCCCGATAATTGCGTCCAGTCAGAAACGGTTGTACCGCTCTCGCCATAAAGCCAAAACAGAGTTTAAAGTAATGCTTCTCCCCAGTAGCTATAGCTAGCAATTGTAACGGTAATAACTGCTAATTGGGGAATAATAAGATCATCCGGATCCAGTCATCTCTCTGTCATTGAATCCACGCAGTTTTTGCACTCATGTACAAATTTTGAAAACAAAGTAACTTGGTACTCGTTAGAGTGCAATACAACAGTCCTTTCTAGGTGTTTTTTTAAAAGTACATCAGTAGTTAGTATTTTCGCGTTACATTTTCAGCATTTTAGGGCCGAGATAAGAGAAAAGTGCTTTTGTTTGGACAGAAAAGTTTCCTCTAAGCCTTAACATATTGTGGAGTAGAAATACTATGCGCAAAAAGGTTTTTTTTCTCTCTCTAGAACCTCCCTTTCACACTTTTTTCTTCAAAAGACAACTAAGAGTAAAAATTTTCTTGTACGCTATTTTATACTTGGTAAATGGTTACTGACATTATTTCTTGTATCAAAGTTTATCAAATGGGCTCGTTTTGTCGTCCTGACTCGTCCTCAGTCGTCTCTCACGAAGACGACTGGAGACGAATCAGGGTCAAGTCAGTCTTTAGTCCCGTAATTTATTTTTCGGATTACTATTACAATATTTATAATCAGTAAGAAGCGTCGCCTTCAGGTCACCTTTTCTATGTACAAGTAATTAGTAATATTCAGTATATTTATGTTTATTAACGTATGTATTTACTTGCACTTATAATAAATTGTTGCATTTATTCATTCATAGTTATCAAGACGGTGGGTTAATGGGCCATTTGCATGATGACGTCGTTTTACTACTAAGACCAGAATTCATTTCGTTTTTCCTTTCATATTTAAATTCGGTAATCCCAGTGAGGTTTAATTAACAAAAGCCTTAATTTGTACAAGAAAGCAATACCCTGAAGGATTCTCGTCGTAGTAGTAAAATGAAGCCATAGTGCAAATGGCCTATTAGCCATAACTACGGAAGAAAGAAAAGTCAGTCAGTAATTCTAACATGCATCAGAAACGCTTTCAGCAATCTTACTGGCTACAGTGGTATAGAATACGGGAAGATTTGATTCGTTACGGGAATACGACATGGCCGAACTTTCAAAAACACAGTAGGGTAGAGATTCCGTACAGCGCGCCCCTTATTTATTTTGCACGCAGGAATTTCATACTATTAAATTAAGTAAGTCGAAACTTATATGCATAATGAAAGAGGCTGTACGGAAATCTTAGAACCTGTTTACATGGAGTGGGGGACCCCGGTCTAGTGGGGTAGGTTTCTTTTGTTTTGTGTCCCCCAGAGCGTGGAAACAAAAGAAACCAACCCCACTAGACCGGGGTCCCCCACTCCATATAAACAGGCCCTTACAAACAATAAACAAACAATAGTCCAGTCGTTATTTATTATAAATTCTAACATAACTCCGAGGCTGCAAATTTTTCACGACTTCACTGTCTCACAATTCCCAAAAGAATCTTGAACACAAGGAAAACCAAAGCAAATATACATGTATAGAAAAATGACCAGAAAGCCTCGGGGTCATGTTAGGATTTTAAGACGGAATCCATCAGGAAACTGAGTAATTTTAATCCTCAGTGGACAAAATTCTTGTACCAGAATAATTGAAACAATATCGCATTCTTTTTTTTTACATTTTTCAAGGGCTATAATGGATATACTAGTTAGTTATTTGTAATAATACCAAAACAAATTTCTCATGAAAGCTTGAGAAAATAAATGTCAAATTCGCAAAAAATATTATGACACCTTACACATAAATTTTTTATATCTATAGCTCTTGAAAAATGAAAAAAAGAATGCGATATTGTTTAAATTATTCTGGTACAAGTTTTTTGTCCACTAAAAATTGAAATTTACTCAAGTCTTGATGGGTTCCGAACGTATATCGAACGTAGGCTCTCTTTCCGAACATGTGAATGTTTTGAACTGAGGAAATCGGAAACTTAGCATAAAGTATGTCAATCTTTTGAATGAGTAATAAAACTTATTATTTAGCTTTTGTACGAAATGAAAAAAAAAACAAAAAACAAAAATCCAAGGGTGCTAAAAACACCCTCTTCGATCTGCATAATAATTGTTCATATCGGTACTCAGCCTCATCAGATAATTGCTAAATAAATTAGCATATTAATTAGTCAGGTGCGAAGAGATGAGAGCACTCTAATTGGTCCAGACCTACGCCACTGTAGCTTGCAAAACCACATTCTGTAAACTTTGACCGACAGGGTGAACTAAATTGTGAACTGCCCGTATGTTATTTATCTTTATTCCTCTTTTCACATTTTCCCTTTTTATGAATTAGTCATTAGTCACACCTACTCAAAATTCCAAGTGGCGCTTTGTAGGAGACCCATTTTGTTTTTTTATTTTTAGTGCATCTGTTCGTTTAATTTAATTTGTCACGGAGAGTGTGTCCAACCAATTTTTAAACCGCCAATTAATCTTAGCAAAATTGAGTTGGAAGCGATGGTGGCCCTCTGAGGCCATGAAGAAAATCATGCCTTTGTACTATAACATATCTTCATTTTCACTCCCATCACCCAGCATAAAAGTTTGCCTTAGTGGTGGCGAAGGGGACAATGTGTTTAATACAATCTGCAATACTTTTGTCTGAGTAGCTGAAATTACCTTTAAACCTTTTGTTTTCATATACAGCTGTATATTCTTTTCGCAGGTATATGCATGCCCTTTTAAACAATAGGACGAAATTCACTTTCCACTAATTAAAACTTAAAGTGATATCAAAGGCTCCTTTATTCAATTGCAAGAGGCCACCATCTTTGAATGATTCTGCTACTTTTTTGTACGTAGTTATGTAAACAGGTCAAACAAGGCTTTGATCAGCAGGCTTTCTCATCTACCTAACTCGGTTATTCAACCCACACGATCTACGTCACCGGCTCAGCTGCCATTCAACAATTTAAATTAAGAAGCCCACAGTATTTTAAGGAACTAACTCTTTCAAACAGTTATAAAGGAAGGTCTCCCTTTATTAAACATTTATTTCCAAGGCACAATGATATAGTTGACACAGAGGAAAAGCCGTAGATCTAAAAACGATGTGAAGATGAGCAAAAAACATGAATGAAATGCACTTTCTCCTGTGGACAAAAACATTAAATTTTTATTTTTAACTTCGTTGTACGAAATATGAAATTGGTCCTGGCCATGAATTAAAGGGTAAGTTAATTAAAAAGTGATTGCTTTCAAAATAATTAACATTTTTTAAAGTTTCGTTTTTGCTGTTGATTTGTGATTCACTTCACAGCTGATGTGAATCCGTTCTTTGTGAAAACTCCTTTTCTTTGTAAAGAGCCACCTAATGTACGCACTTTGACGTCGTACTAAATGGGTCCAACCAAATGATTTTGCGTAGTAAGTTTTCAACAGTTGCCATAACCGTACGGGTACTATAAATTTTGTGAATCAAATTTCTTCTATAAGCCTTCGTGTGTAGCTGGAGAGAAAATTGATAACTATTTGAAATCAGGGTGAAATTGAAACCTTCGAGTTATTATTAGTTTTTTCTCTCCCAACTCTATTTAATGTCAAATGGTCGTGGTTTATTGACTCTTTATTCAGTTGTCGCTTTCGAATTGACTTCATCTGTTCCGTCAATTATGAAAGACTCTGTTTCTTATACACAGTCTTACAGCAGGTAAGTCATCTACCGACAGTAATTTTAGCACTACCATAAAACAGCATAACTCTCTGACTGCTTCTTCAGCGTCTAAAATCAACTTGCAACCATCCCTTCAATTCTTTTCCTTAGACTTCCATGACCAAAAGCAACTTTACAGAAAGATGTCTGCTTCAAGAGCACTCTCCATTCTCCTTATATTGGAGATATTTAACAAAGCC